GGAGAAGTGGTCGGGCGAAGCTGTCTTTGCAGGTTTTGTGGCTCTCCAGCTCGCGGAGGGTCTGTGCTTCTGCCTCCTCGAAGCATCCTCTGAGGGACTGCAGCCTGCGCCCTGCTGTTCAGGAGTGCAACGCACTAGTGCGGAAAGAGAGAGAGCCCCAAGAGCAGGTGACTGAGGGGAGAGAAAGGGGAGGGAGGGAGAGAGAGAGAGAGAGAGAAAAAGATAGAGAGAGAGAGAGAGAAAAAGATAGAGAGAGGGAGAGAGGGAGAGAGGGAGACACACACACAGAGAGACAGAGAGACAAAAGACAAAAAAGAGAAAGAGACAGAAGAGAGGGAAAGAGAGAGAGCGAGACAGAGAGAAAGAAAGACAGAAGGGAAAGAAGAGAGCGAAGAGAGAGAAGAGAGAGAGAAGAGACAGAGACAGACACAGAGACAGACACAAAGACAGACACAGAGACAGACAGAGACAATGACAGAGACAATGACAGAGACAGAGACAGAGACAAAGACAGGAACAGAGACAGAGACAGAGACAGAAACAGAGAGAGAAAGAGAGAGACAGAAGACAGAGAGATAGAGAGATAGAGAGTGAGAGAAGACAGAGAGAATACAGAGAGAAGACGGAGCGAAGACAGAGAGAAGACAGAGAGAAGACAGAGAGAAGACAGAGAAAAGACAGAGGGAGATAGATAGAGAGAGAGAACAGAGACAACAGAGACGACAGAGACGACAGAGAAGACAGAGGCGACAGAGACAACAGAGAGAAACAGAGAGAAACAGAGAGAAACAGAGAGAAACAGAGAGAAACAGAGAGAAACAGAGCGAAACAGAGAGAAACAGAGAGAAACAGAGAGAAACAGAGAGAAACAGAGAGAAACAGAGAGAAACAGAGAGAAACAGAGAGAAACAGAGAGAAACAGAGAGAAACAGAGAGAAACAGAGAGAAACAGAGAGAAACAGAGAGAAGAGAGAGAACAGAGGAAGAGAGAAGAGTGAAGAGAGAAAGAGAGAAAGAGAGAAAGAGAGAAAGAGAGAAAGAGAGAAAGAGAGAAAGAGAGAAAGAAAGAAAAAGAGAAAGAGAGAAAGAGAGAAAGAGAGAATAATGAAGATTCAAGAGTGAAGAGAGAAGAGAGAAGAGTGAAGAGTGAAGAGGGAAGAGGGAAGAGTGAAGAGTGAAGAGTTAGAGAGAGAGAGAAGAGGGAGAGAGGAGGAGAGGAGGAGAGAAAGAGAGAGAAAGAGAAAGAGAAAGAGAAAGAGAAAGAGAAAGAGAAAGAGAAAGAGAAAGAGAGAAGGACGCGGCTTTCCAGTCGCCATTCAGTCGTTCAATCCATTAGACACCCATGTCAATAGACACCCATGTCAGTAGACACTCATGTCAGTTAGCATCATTGGTTGGTTGGCTGGTTTGTCGGTGATCAGCACCAGTAGGTGAGACCCGGTCCAGACTTCCCCCCGGCCGAAGCTTGGGGTTCCAGTTGCCCAATCGGCTAAATGCAGCGAAGAGACATCCAACCAGCAGGAAGCAAAGGAAAGACATGCAGGTGGGGACGACCAGGCCACGCCAGCCAAGACAAATCAAGAGCTGAGACAGAACGAAACAGAAAAAAATCAGGGGAAGGCTGAACCCTTCAAAAGGACCAGAGAGCCGAGTGGATGGAATGAGAATTTGGAAGGATAACAACAGGACAGTTGCAGAGCAAAGCTGCCTGGAGCTGCCATTGGCCAGGCAAATAACCACAACACAGGGAGCAAGGCCACGCATATGGCTAAACATATCATCGGATTGAGGAGCGGATAAATGCAGTCTGCAATGTACCCATGCCTTCCTGAGTGGCCTCTGGCCGGAGTGGATACCGAAGGTAGTGTCTGTTTGGTACAGAACAGGTGTAGAAGTCAATTTACTGCTGCCGTATTTACTGCTCCCTGAATCTCCAGTAAAAGCCATCAGAAGAGGGTTGTATCCATTTACCAGCCATCTATCTTGGCATGGATATCAAGAACTAGGATAATCTTAATCATGAATGTCCATTTGCCAGCCATCAACAAAAATATGGAAAATATGTCATCCCAATCTCAAACAACAACAAATGTGCCATCTTCGAAAAATTGGAGAGGTAGGGCAATCCGGGCTGTTATTTTGAAATCCGCCAGCCAGCCAGCCAGCCACAGACAGCCGAAATCCGTCAGCCAGCCAGCCGGTCAGTAGCCTAAAATCCGCTAGCCAGCCAGCCACAGACAACCGAAAAATCCGCCAGCCAGCCGGCCAGCCAGCCAGCCACAGACAGCCGAAATCCGTTAGCCATCCAGCTAGCCAGTATTCGAAAAATTTGCTAGCCAGCTAGCTATGGACATTTGAAATCACCAGCCAGCTTAGCCACTGGCCTAAAAAGCCGCGAGCCAGTCTACTTTATGCCAAGGTGATCCACCGAACAAAGGTCAAACAGGAATACTTAATATTACTTAATTACTTACCAGTACCCTCTGGAACGGACATTCGAGAGGGAAGGCATGCAGTACAGAACTTTAGAAATGCCCCCAAGATTTACAAAGCATTGCAGCCACTTCGTCGACGCTTGATCTGAACCTAGGCAAACAGAAAATCCATGAGAATGTAGTGAGATGCAGTGAGTACCAGTCCTCATTATGCCACCAGCACTTATCGCTGTAATTCCAAATTCAGCGGCGTCAGCGCTGAGGTTTCTGAATTTTAGTCCTTGAGTCCCTTAGAACACTCGACTGAACATTGAGTTTATAGTTGAACTGTTTGAACATATTTGAACCCATAAATCCCTTGACCTCGTTTGTCAAGCTCGCTTTGAATCACTAACCCAAGGACGCACAAGGGCCAACAGCAGGCACACAGCCGTGTCATGTGTTGCCTGCATCGAATGAGTCAAAGTTACTTCATTAGCAGCGAAAAGCATTGCCTGATCACATCTTTAACTCTGCTTCATGTAGTTCAACCCGTTAAAGTATATCTCATTGATTTCATTACAACTGCCCTTTTCGTTACAACTCGTCCATTTCACTACAACACTCTCATCGCGCCACAACGTTGTTTTTTCGCTACAGCTCGCCCTCTTCATCGCAAACCGTGCTTCCCCATGCAACGCTTCCTTGCGTTAAGTACAACACCCACTGCGCGTGACACCTTGTCCTTTGCATTGCAGCTCTTCCTTTTCGTTACAAACTTCTCTGTTGTTCTCGCTCGTCCCTCTCGCTATACTAGTAACACTCTCTTCACGTGACAACTTGTCGTTTGCGTTGCAGCTCTTCTCTGTCGTTACAACCTTTCCTCTCGTTACAACTCTGCTTGTGTTACAACACTCCCTGCGCGTGACACCTTGTCCTTTGCATTGCAGCTCTTCCTTTTCGTTACAATCTTCTCTGTCGTTCTCGCTCGTCCCTCTCGCCATACTAGTATCGCTCCTTTCACGTGACAACTTGTCGTTTGCGTTGCAGCTCTTCCCTGTCGTTACAACCTTTCCTCTCGTTACAACTCTGCTTGTGTTACAACACTCCCTGCGACACGGGGAGCAACTATGGCTGGGCTCACTTTGCCATGCTTGACAAATTTGCCTTTATTCCAAGGCGCAGGACCATCTGCTTGGCGCCACGGTGTTGCAGATTTCTTGGTCGACACCGGAGACGCAAACTGAGTCAATTTCATGGATGGAGTTTTGGCTCTTGGGCTCTTGCTCTGTTGTCCGGGAGAAGCAAAATCAGTGAGTCTACAAGATTTTGACGATGCTTGCTTCTGCGAAGTGGCAAAATCCGTCAGGGCCAGACTGCGGCCGGATTTAGACTGGGCACACTGCTTGCTACGCTTCAAGGAGTTTTTGGCAATAGAAGAAGCTGCGAAATCAGTGAGGCGACAGGATGGCCGGGGCGAACATTTTCCGCCCCCAAGAAAACCTCTCTTTTGCACCTGGTGCTTTTGGGAATACAGCATCAACTGGTCCCACATGCTCTGAGGGCCTTTCAAAGTCTCAAAATGACCTGATCCATCATAATACAAAGCAATGGGGTGTTGACTTTTTGGTCCATCATACGGAAATGGAGTGACTTCTCCACTGTCATCCAGGAGGTAAACTGGGCGTTTCAATGCCGAAGCAGCTGTGTAGCATTCCAGATAGCCATGCCAGGTACCTGCAATTTTGATTTCACTCAAATAGTCTTGGAATGTATAGTCATCTTGCGCAGGGCTACCAGACCCTGCTTTGTGACGATCCCATAGTGCTTCATATTCCAGGTGATGCTGCAACATGAAGCTGTGCAGAAACAAACGGACTTGAGATCCGGAATAGCTCTTGTTAGTCATCACACTGTTCAAAGCTGTGGCGATCGAAAGAAACAAGCAATCTCCTCCTCCTTGGTTGTCAACCCGCTGAGCTCCGTCTGGTAGCCAACCTCTCCAACATTTCCGTTTGGTGGAGTTTGTGTCAGTACTAGCTGCAGGTCTCTTGGTGGCAACAAATGCTCCCATGGCAGAATCCACCGAGTCGTCTTCATGGGCCACTGGTTCTTCATCCATCGCATCTTCAGCAAGATGGATGGCTGGCGCAGGACGATTCACTTGCTGGTGGTGGTTCAGCTTGATGGATCTTTCGCGAGATAGCGGCTGGAATGCACTGTGTTGTCTGCGTTTTGCTTCTTTGGTGAAGGTGACTTCATATTCAGAATTTCCTTCAAGAGCCACCGCAACTGATATGGTATCTTCGAAGTTGTCAGCCATGGCCTTGAACAACCAAGAGCTGCCATTGCGTCGCCAGTTTTTGGCTATCAACTCAATGTCGAAAAACCCTGCTTGGGCGCAGAATTGTTCAAGCTGTTGAGGGCTCCAACCTGGGGGAATGATTTCTGCCCTCCACAACGAAGGTCTTGGAACAATTCGTGGGTCGCCTTCAGCAACTCTCAAGGCCAACTGATGCCTGCCATGCACCAAGCCTTGGCTATCTTGCCTTCGACATCTGTCTGCATATTCATGCCATGACTCTGGCTGATGCCAGGGTATCCAAGCCAGTTTGATGTTATGAGTCTGCAAATTTTGCGAAACTGCTTCGCAGAACCATCTTTGGCCCGTTTCAACATTGTAATGACCGCTGCTGGCAATCAAACTTTCAGCTGCTGCTCGGGTATGGACTCGAAGCATGCCTCTGACATTTTTCTCATCAATCAGTTCAAATTTGAAGGTGTAACCCAGGCTGTATGAGTTGCCCAAGATGCTTTGTGCCCACAGCCTGGCCGCCGAACCTGGCGCTTTGACCAAGCGATTCCAGTTTTGCCAATTGCACGTTTGGTAATTGCCCGGGGCACTGAGACGGACCACAAAGGTCTCCTGGCCTTGTTTGGCATCATCAAATGCTTTTTTCAGGTCTGGGTCATGTAGGTTCAGCTTGCGTTTCAAAATTGGGGCTTCGCCCCAAGAGGCAACCCAACACTTTCGATGTTGCAACTTGCTTCCCATCATGCCCGGAATTCTTTGCTCCTGTTTCAACTCTTCAGGTTCTCCTATGCTTTTGCAAAACGAGGGTGGCCGCAACGTCTTTTTGGCTATCCAGCAAACCGTACATTTCAGTCCATTCCTCTTGGGTTGAGGCATGGCAAAGGTATGCTTCATGCGATTTCTGGTCCAAAGCCTGACCCAACATGTCAGGCGATCGGAACATTCCCAAGTCTGAGGTCATTGCCGCATCCCAGTCAGCATGTCTCAGATTTCATCTTACTTCATGCCAATCATTATGTCCGGTAGATCCTTGTTTCCTTTGATTCCACCTAGTGGCGCCTCTTTCAACAGGCTTTGGGGCGGGTTGTTGAGCAGGTCGCCACGAAGGTTGCCAAGCGGGCTCTTCTTTTTGTGGCTGTTGGTTCTTCTTACTTCGTCTCTTTGTTTCTGTTTGTACCAAATTGCGCAATTCGGTGAGCAAGTCACACTCCAGGTCGTGTTCTGCTTTACGAACCAGCGCCTTCAGCGCTTGTAACAGTTCACCTGTCTGCGTGTTGTGGGACGATTGCTGTGTTTGGGCTTGCAAAAGCTTCTGCAAGCCTGTGAGCAAATCATCTTGTTCCTTGTGAGTGGCTTTGGCTCCTCCCAGAAAGGAACGGCTGACCACTTTGGCTTCGCTAATGCTTTTGCGTTCCTTCGGTTCATGAAAGCTTTGATTGGTCTTTGAACAAATCTGTTCAAGATCTTTCACCAACTCATCTTTCTGTCTTCCGTGGTTTTGCGCCTTGCCTATGGTCAGTGGACAAACTGCTTTGTTACAGGGGCATAGGTAGGCTGACTGTGCTTTCTTTCGGGAGAGTCTCTGACGCGCTTGCTCATGCATCTTGTGACGACATGTCTTGGCTTTGCAAAACTTGGGTTTGTCACTGGTACATGCTTTGGTGCGGAAGCGTCTTTCACAAAAAACCTTTGGTGACAAGACACACTTTGGCAGCAAGACACACTTGCACTTGTCGGCAAACCTTGAAAAATATTGCATCACAGCACTGCAGGCAATGAAACTGTGGCAAAAACAATGCTGAAACAAACTTCTGCAGCAACCGTAGGGAAACCCACGGTGAGTGACACACAAACCTTGTGCACCTTTGAATCGAATGGCTTTGCGGTGACAACTTGCACGCACATGTCTTTTTCTTGCAGTGGCAACACGCCGGGCAGACCAAACAACATGCCGGCACAACCAAATCTGGCACTTTGGGAACTTCATGACCTTCTGTCCGAGAAAGCACATCATCAGAACCATCCAGATGGCCATCCACCCAAGAGACAGCATCAAGAGGAACAAGTCACGGAGATGTTCGCACTCCAGGGTTCCGTGAATCACCACGCAAATCACCAGAGCCCACTTCCACCACGTGGAGGCCATCTCGTGGAAGCAGTGTTTCGCGACTTTCCTACCTTTTCGCGCATCTGCATCTTCTTTCTTCTGACTCTTTCTCTTCTACTCTTCTCTCTTCTAATCTTTCTCTTCTCTCTGCCTCTGCCCTACTCTGCTTTTCATCTGTCCATATTGTCGGAAGTTTGACTTCTAAACTTCCTTCGACAACTCTGCTTGTGTTACAACACTCCCTGCGCGTGACACCTTGTCCTTTGCATTGCAGCTCTTCCTTTTCGTTACAATCTTCTCTGTCGTTCTCGCTCGTCCCTCTCGCTATACTAGTAACGCTCCCTTCACGTGACAACTTGTCGTTTGCGTTGCAGCTCTTCTCTGTCGTTACAACCTTTCCTCTCGTTACAACTCTGCTTGTGTTACAACACTCGTCTACGTTGCAACTCGTCTACGTTACGACTTCTCGTCTACGTTGCAACTCGTTTTTTACGTTCCAGCGGTCCTTTTTCGTTGCAGCTGCTAATTTTTGTTACAAGTCTTTGCTGGTTGCTAAACCGTCTTTTGTCTTCGTCAATAGGTTCGTGTCAACTCGTAGACTTCCTTTTCTGTTACAACATGTTCCGACCTTGCTTTTTGTAAGAAACGCTTTCTGTGACTGGCTGGCTGAATCCGCCGCTATGGCCGGCTGGCTGGCTGACTGGCTGAATCCGCCGCCGCCGTGGCTGGCTGACTGGCTGATTCCGCCGCTGTGGCTGGCTGGCTGGCTGACTGAAATCAAAATACCGGACCGTGATGCTCCACCAATGCAATGGACAACCTGATTTCATCCGGATCTCAAAGATACGAAAAATGTCCCATCTTCGGGGAAAAAGATGCTGTTCGCGGACCCCCGTTGTGGAGTTACATGCCCGTTTTTTGTCCCAATCAAATCACCGTCATTTTGAATCTGTGTCAGGTCTTTTGGAAAATAAATGGTGTTTATAGTCTCCCTCCGCTATTTTCCGAGTTAAATGTCCCATTGTTTTATATGTGTGTTCAAACTAAAAATCTGTGGTGGGAAAAAATGCACACCGTCCCATCTTCGTCGCGGTGCATCAAGTCGAACTTGTGATCGATGCGCGAGAAGACTTCAGCAATGGCCTCGGGTTGTCGACGATGTTGGGAAGTGCCATCCTTGTAGATTCTAGTTGTATTTTGTAGTAGACGATAGACTATTGCTAGTAGAATCTACTTTATATACTTTTACTATGTTTAAAAGTTATATACATATATATTATGTGATTGATCAGTGTAGCATTCTATTGTTGGGGTATGTATCGTATTCCACAGTTCAACAACTGCGATCTTTCATGTGGTAAAAATCATCGAAACATCGCACTCCAAGGGTCTCGAGACTTTGTCGTCCAAAGGAAAATCTACATGCAACTGCCGCCACATTTGATAGTGCTTTTAGACCAAGAGTTCCCTACAACATTTCCAACCTCAGACCTAAAATCCCTTATTTAAAAAAAAAAACACGTTTAAAGAAAAACAGCGTTTCCCCAGATTCCTCCGAAAACAGCCAACCTCCAAACCCCAGCCGAAGAGGCAGTGGAGTTGGAAATCATGCAGCAGGCGCGCATGACCTTGGCCAAATCTCCTCCAGGAACCACCTTGGATTGGCGATTTGCTCGGCTCAAGGGTAGCGAAATAACCACGGAAAGGCGGACTTGGGGTGGGATTCCTTAGGGGAATTCCATGGAATAATGGCAGAATATACCTCTTCACTGGTCATCAATCTTCAGGAAATGTCTTTTGGTAACCATACTTTTTGAGGATTATTTCACAAAACCTCCTGTTTGACCCAAGATTGGGACAGATCCAAAACTCAACCGATTTTTGTGGGGAAGTGATTCAACTGGCGGTTGGTTTCAACCCACAAAAATTTGTGAAAGTCCCGGGTAAGACGGAAAAACCGTGTCTCAAACCAGCAACGAGAGAAAAAGGCTCCCTGCAAATGTTCCAAATGTTGCATGTCTGGTTGGGAAAATACAAAAGTCACCTGAAGCAAACACTAGATCACAGTAGGTGGCTGATAGTTGATGCCACACTTGAAGCCAGTGGGGCACCAATCCACGAACTGGATGGTTCGCTTGGTCTTGATGGTTGCAACGGCCGCGTTCACGTCCTTTGGCACCACATCTCCTTTGACATCCCAACGGCTGCTTGGATATGAATTCAAGCGAACTGACTATGAATTAGGAAGAAAAAGGTCCAATTTCCTGGTTTTCTTGTCGGAATTTCAAGGATGCTAAAAACATCTAAAAATCATGAAGCCAGAGTTTATGGCCCACAAAAAATGTGATTTTCCAGTATCTGACCATCCAATTCTTTGGGGGAATCGTTTCAAGACATCTCAAAATGTCCAACTTTAAGAAATTGTCCGTTCAGAAAATGTGAAACTTTCTTTTCTAACCATTGGCTTTGGGGATACCTTAATTTTGATTTATTTTGCACAAACCTTGGTGTTCTGGTCAAGACCTGATGAACAACCGCATTCTGTCGGGTCCCCTCGAACACCGTTTGGTCAACTGATACATTCTGACCATCCGTTTGGGTTTCCCCAAAAAATAGGCTAGCCGGCTAGCCCCAAATCCACCATCTGATCATCATTTTTCAATATCAAGCTGCCATTTTGCTCGGTGTTCCCCAAAAGTTAAACATCCCCATGTCCCATTCTTCATCAAAATCGATTAAATTATATAAACCTAGCCCAGTGTCCACGATACATCATGCAGCAGGCCATGTATTTGCCATGACGTGGATCGCATTTCACCATCATCGAGGCGGGTTCGAAGACGGACATCGTGATCTCCGCCACCGAGAGCTGCTCATGGTAGGCCTTCTCCGCGGAGATCACCGGAGCATAGGAGGTCAACATGAAGTGGATGCGCGGATAGGGCACCAAATTGGTCTGGAACCTGACAAAGAAGTTGTTTGCTGATTTTGAAAACTGCTGTTTAAAAGGACTGGCAGTTGCAGGAGGTCGAAAAAAAGAAAAGAACAAACAAGAATTTGGCCAAAAAGAGGTCTAATTAGATCTAATTACTATATATCCATTCAAAATTGAAGAAAAAAGTGAGAAAAAACAGCCAAGAAACTCGGTGATGTCAACGTTCAATGCACCATCGAAGCCTGAAGCGGTGCCAAGGAGGGGCCATTTTCGATGATGGGAATTCAGGGATTTTACCCATCGAAAATGGGGTCTGAATCGATATAAATATGGGTATGAGTCAAAAAGTACTACCAACTAAGATTCTTCATAATTTTGTTATTCATGTGTCATAATCATTTAACAAATTCAACAAACCATACCCAGTGGCACAGCTAGAACATCAACACTTCTGACTTCTGAGCATGAAAACATAACATAACACAACATAATATGCCATAACAACTCTTGGACAAGGTGCGCAGGGAAGCTGTCAAGCTGGAAATGATCTGGGCGATCAATCTGTTCAAATTGGTGTAGGTTGGACGCTCGATGTCCAAGTTCCTTCGACAAATATCGTAAAGTGCTTCGTTGTCATACATGATGGTCACATCCGTGTGTTCCAGCAAAGAGTGCACGCACAACACCTTGTTTGCCATCGGGAAAACCCTGCCAAGCTGTGCTCAAACACTTCTTGCTGCGGTCGAAACCGTTTATATACCAAAAATCATGTGTGACATCATTCATCAAAATCAGAAAATACAAAGCCACTTACCAAACCACTTATGGACAATAATGGTTTTTTTTAAAGGGTCAACAGGACGGTCAACATTCAACACGCACCATCACCAAGTTGCAGTGTTGTAGGGTTCAACAACAGCAGTGGCCACCTGTGGGCAGCACCACACCGTGAAGGAAATTTTGCTTTTCTTTCCGTAATCCACCGACAGGCGTTCCAACCTTAGACGTCCCAGCCCACAGAACGCTGCGTCCCACCCACCTTTGGATAGCAGGAGATCGGTGATGATCCTGGCTATTCAGAAGTCGGACTCATCGTTACACACTTCAGCCCTTCAGAAACACCCGCGTTCATAAGACAGGTGGATTGTCACCCCCCCCGATGTTTTTGGGAACAGGAAATTCAATCAAAAAAGGATTAGGGTAGTATTCAGCACTATAAACCATGATTAAACCACCATTAAACCACCATTAAACCACCTAGGTTCGATAGAACGTGTCCGGTCCCTGATCCTGGACTCTAAGCTTCCAACATCAAACAGCCCAAGCCAGATCCGGTGCCGCCGCCACAAGCATTGTAGACACAGAAGCCTTGCAGTCCTTAGTCGCGGTCAAGGTTTGATTCACATGTAATCTAAACATATATATATATATATACGTGTATATATATATATTGGTATTTATATATATATATAATTCATGTATTCATTTATTCATGTCTATATGTGTTTATATTCACATATCGATTTTTTCATGGATGTATTGATTCGTTGATTCATTCATGTATTTATTGATCTAATAATTTATTTAGTGATCTATTCGTTTGGTCATTGATTCACTTATTTTTTTGGTTTGTGTGCTTATCATTGTTTATCTACCTATTCATGCATCTCTTCGTTTATTCATTTATTCATTTATTATTTTTGTTCATTCATTCATTGATTGATTTCTTCATTTATTCATTTATTCATTTATTCGTTTATTCGTGTATGTGTTTATTCGTTTATATTATATATATTTGTTTATATATTCGTTTATGCGTTCATGTGTTTATTCATTTATTCATTTGTTCGTTTATTCATTTATTTATTCATTCATAAATTTATGCATTTTTAGTTCATTTATGCACCTATTCATTTACTGGTTCATTCATTCATTCGTGGAATTAAAGTTGAATTTGTGAAGTCACTAATTAAAAGACAGAAGCACAATTAATATATGCATATGTCATATATGCAAACACGTCAATGTGTCAAATACATCTCAGTCATCAAGTCAAACATAGTCAGTACAAATCTATACAAATGCCAGTACATGCGTCAAGATTCATGTCACTCCATCTGTTAGTTGGTATGGTTGTGTATATGTCAATACATATTATGTGAGCGGGAAGCAAGAACAAAAAATTCGGAATCCATCAATGTGTCAATGTACATGTCACTTCTTAAATAGTGCATGTGTAGTTCGGAATCTCAATTACTTGCATGTCAAGACAAAATTTACCAACAAAAAGAAATCTGGTGGCAGGGATCAGTTAAAGCGTAACAAAAATGAACAAAACCATGTACAATCCGAGACGCCTGTGCAATTGTCTGCCAACTTACGAATCCTGTCTAAAACGAGGTCCACAATTTCCTTCCCAATGGTGTAATGGCCTGGTGCGAAACTGGTTGGTGACGGCTTCAAAAGCCAACTGTCTGGTGCAATGAATAAACATGAGACCTGAAAGATCTGAAAGGTACAACTTGGCAAGTTAGGCCAGAAAAACATTCCAAAGCGAAGAAGGTTTTCAAGCATCTCGCAAAGCTGGCCTCGTGCGAAATTGTTCGCGGCATCTTCTTTTCCACTAATCAATTGTTCCGGGTGGAAAAGTTGGCGATAGGTGCCGGTGCGCACCTCATCTACGACAGTTGGTTCCTTGGTTATGCAGGTAGGAGCAATGGCAATGCACATGATTCTATGAAGTTGTTGGTTTGGATAAGGGTTGGACTTAAAGTTGGTGTTTGCGAAGCATTGATGTCAACAAATTGAAATTTGATGTTCCTAACTGCCGAAAACATTCGGACGGATTTAAACTGCAAAAATATGCAACAACAGTTTCGACAGCCGAACTGACCACACCCCCAGAGGCACTGACAACAACATCAAAGTTGGTGACCGAATCGGGCCAGGTGGTTTGTGATCGGACAAAGATGGCATTATTTTGTTAAATAATACATGTGACTAATGACCATTTTCTACCATGGCGAACACAAGACCATGCCAAAGTTCCAGGTCGACCATCACACAGCGGGGCACGTGTTTGCCAGCACCAGTCTCGGAGAAGAACCTGAGTTCCACACAAACCAAACAGCAGAAGAAACGAGCTGCAGCAAAAAAAATTACGATGCGCGCAAGGAAGTTAAAATAGTGTCAAATTTGCACCGGCAAGAGGCCCCAAACAGTGTGGGGGACAGGAAATCAACGCAGGAGATACAAGCAACAATAGCTACGGACTAGAAACAGATCAGGTTAGACATTATCGGAAATGCAGCAGCAAGAATTTGTTGTGTCACGAGAAGCAACACTATCTCTACTGACCAGGACCTCAGTGCCAGGACATCTTCAAAATTTCACAAGATTGTCACAGAACGACTTTCCACAGAACTTTGCAAGATCATCATCCCAGAACCCCCAAGCGCATCCCAGAAAGAACTTTCATACAAGCACCCCTAACACAGAGCATCTTCAAGATCTTCATGCAAGGGCCCCGCAGGGTACCCTATTTGGTTGAAGGTGTCAAAGACAGTTCCTGGCTTGATCGCATCCAAATTTCTCTTGGATTGCAACCACACTAGGCTTCGGTACATCTATGCCAACCTGGCAGCGCAAATGCGAAGGGTTGAGACACAGGCTTGGTGGTCCATACGAGCGGTATGGAGCAGTGAATGAAGGCAGTGTTGTTTTGACATGTCAAGGTAGCACATTGAAAAGATATCAGCCTGCATTGGCAGCAAGTCGCTGTTCATCTAGTGCATGGGTAATGAAAATACCAGGTGTGTTTGCTGCAATAGCACACTGCACTCCCATCGAAGTCAGGAGCAGCACTGAAGGTGACCCAACCAGTCTTAGAGTCTTAGAGCAGCAACGCGGTTGCCGGCCCCACCACGAGTTGGGTATGCCAAATTTAGCTTCGAGAGACATCCTCTGGTCATCAAAGTTGGGACACTCTGCAAAGAAATTTCATGAACTGGCCTGGGGAGTCTGGCACCACTTGCAAGGAGTGCGAACATCCATCTGATCGGATCCAGGACGGTAGAAACGTCAAGTGGGCTTCCAGACCGCTCCCGATCTCCAGATTGTAAGGATCTTTTGGTCTTCGGAGGACAAGTTTTTCCTGAACTGGGTCCAAGCAGGCTGCGAATAAATTTCGAGATCGACTTCACCAATCCCTTCAACATCAAAACAAGAAGCTTTAACCGTGTTGAGCACGATGCGACGGGCCCTAGAACGAAGAAAGTGGCGGACGCTGGCATCCTCTTTTTCATGAACTGCGGTGATTTGCAAAGCAACAGAAAAATCACCTGAATGACTTCCGGAAATTCTGGCCACACTGGATGGAGGAATCCGAAAACTGCACCAAGAGGCGGTTCTCATAGATATCCAACAGTTTAAGCTTGAGGACACCGATTGTTTAGTCGGGCGCCTAAATAATTTAAAACACGACCAGCATTGCACAGAGCACGGATGGACGTGCCAAAAACTCGGTGAAGTTCAATGTGCTGCGCCCAAAATCTCGGCTGGCACCACCAGGCGGCTCTGGCATGTGTGATACCTTGAAAAAGCATCTGCGCATCTTTACTTGTACCTGGAAACATCAAGGGTGAAGCCCAATCAAACAAGGGTTGAATGAAGGCTGTTGCCAAACGGCTCCGGGTCTCCATGTTTCCTGGGCAATGTGCAAGTCTAGCAAGTGCATCCTGGATTTTGGCAGAATCCCTTGGTAACACAGGGGATTGCAAATTATTGGGTCCATAAGTTAAACCTAAGTGTTCAAGTTTTACGTCCGCATCAGGGGAAACATCATGGGACCAAACTTGTGTTTTATCGGTGTTAATGTGGAAACCAACATCATGGTCAAATTGGCGAGTGACGTCTAAAGCATTTTGCCAGGTCTGAGCGTTACCCAGCTCAGTGACGCCCGTCGCGCGGTCATCCATGTATGCCCATGTGTGCACACTGGAAAGCAAATTTTCGACAGCTTGTCCATGTCTCCCTCAACAAAACAAATGTGGGCCCAAACTGGAAGAAAGTGCAAGGGGACCATCTGATGTCATGCCAGTCACGGGAAAAGCCCGGAAGCTGTCCGAAACAGAAAAGCACCATCATGAGGACACCTGGCTATGGCTCAAAAATGATTCACCCCTTAGGATACAGAATGATACGTATTATGATATATGCCTTATTAACATGTCATAATTAGTGGCCAAAAAATGAAATAACCAGATTTGTCGGTACATTGGTACCCCAATTTCGATACATGCCCGCATGTGAGCAAACCCAATGACACAGCAGCCGTGCTGCTGTAGAAGGAGATCCTTTGATGTTATGACATGTGCGAAATCAGAGCTTCCAGAGCCATATAAAAAGAGCATGTGGGGGTAACATGTCATTTGTTGCTTCACGTTTTGGTCAACCGTTTCTTTGAAACATGTTGTATCGGTAACATTCATCATTCAAAACTGTTCCACGGATTCCTCCTTGAGAAATCTCCAAGTGAAAACATCTAACGCGTTTAAGAGACGCGTGCACACAAGGAAGGAGAACACGTTCTAGAAACCATTACGCGTTTTGTCATCAGCGTGGGACACGCGTGGATCCTTGTGCATTTGCCTGTTACTTAGAAGGGGGCCAGAACAAGAAAGGAGAAACAGAAGTTTGAGACTGGGCACAAGACAAGGGGGTGCTTGACAAACAAACACAACACTTAACATATCTATAGTCCGCTATTGACAAGTCAACTGCCGGCGTATGTTTATATATATATGGATGTACACATACGTAGTGTAAACTTCTCAAAGATCTGGCCACCGTTCTCGTAGACAGCCAAAAACAACACACGAGATTCACAACCCATCTGCTCAAAACCACAATGGTTCTGGGGGAAGTAAGCCAGGCCTCCGTTGTGATAGTGAATCCTAGTCGCTTCATTGGGCGGGATGTTCCTCGCAAAAAAGCAGCATAAAAATCGTCGCATTGCATAACGTCAGTTACTCATCCAAACAGTATTTCATACAACAGGTTGAACATCGAACCTTCAAACACAGATGCTGCTGTTCATTGATGCAACCTTCAAATTCATTAACACTTTTTGTCATGCGCACTAACCGGCGCTAAGGTGAAGAAAACCAAAGCTTTGCTGTTCCCCATCGGTGCGCACTAACTGGCGCCCCAGTGAAGAAACCACAACTTAGCCAAGGTTTAAAAGACTACACACTCGCCTGAGTTTGGCGTGCAATCAAAAACAGCAAGTCCTCTTTGCTCAATCGCCCAGCTTTGGCGATGAGTCTCTTCTGCTTTTTGCTTTCGCTTTTCAGCGTTTTGCTGACGTCTTTCAGCGAAGCTTTCAACTCCTGCCTTCTCCTCTTAAGGTCGCCCAGCACGTCAGTCATAGTAGTAGGGATCACAGGCGCAGCCACGGAGGAGGTCACAGCTGCACCGTCAGCCATAGAGCCCACACAGGTCGCAGCTGCACCATCATGCGCGCCGTCAGCCATGGAGCCTATGGAGGTCACAGTGGGGTCACTACTGGCGCAACAGCAGGGTTTTTCGTCATTACAAATTAAATCAGAGCCGTTGAACAGCCATGCACAGTTACAGCCAGCGCAGCTATTTCCACACTGAACAAATGCTGGTCAGGCACCAGAAAAACGGCTCCATTATTTGGACTGTAACACGGTCCTTTTTTCAGACCTCCGCAACGTTCTGTCATTGTATCTTCACTCCAAATTGCGAGTGAACAGCAAGGAATATGTTTTGTTTGTACAGCGTTGTCTCGGCCATAGAGACGCTATCTGGGATTGCGTCGGCAAACTGTCCTGCACTTTCGGGTCCAAGCCAAGTGCTTGAAGGTCCTTGGTCAAAAGATTAATATTTCCATCAAGCGCACAATTGGCTTGAAAGGCTTTAGCCCAAGAACGTGCCTGCAGCCAAGCAGGCACTTTGAAAAAAATCTGGAAAAACAAGGCTTTGGTCACTTCGTGACCCTCGGCCCGCAGCTTTTGAAGTTCACCAGCAAAAAAAGCCTTGAAGGCTCTGAAACAAAAGACATCTGCCACCTGAAGTTGAGGAGTGGGACCAGTTGGCACGCAAGCTATAAAGAGTTGCAGGCTTCGTGCCTTTTGCAGCACGGACTGCGTGATGTGGCACGGAGCCAGGTCCATGGTCAGAGTTGGCTGGCAGAATTGCTGCCAAGGCCTCAAAGCAGCTGCCAGCACCTCCAAAATATTTATACAAGACAGGATTACCTTGGGGAAGACCTCTACAGGAGCTGATTGGATATGCCATGTCTCCCTCAACAACACAGAGCCGAGGGCCGGTCCAGACCTGCGCAAGTGTGGCAACAACCGTTTAGTTTAGGGGTACCCGAAAAGGTTAAGGCTTGGCATGCGACTGGAGGCCACAAGTGGTCGAATGCTTTAGACAAATCAGTTTCGGCAATATGGCAATATGATAAAGATTGCGAGCAAAGAAACTTGCAGTAGCATGGGTGACGGAAGTAAGTATGCGGTCTTCCGCACCATTGTCCTTCCGGAGGCTCGCACAGCAGTGCTGGGTGCCAAACGCGGACCAAAGCGCTGGCCACGCTAATGGGGGCCTTGGCTCTGTCGGCACTTTCTTAGGAATGCCAACCACTTTCCAAGGCCAAAGCAGGGACCTGAGCTCAGGGTCAAAGTTGTCACCTACACTGCAAA